GAAGGCATATGGATCCCCGAAGAGGATGGAGCCAATAATATTAATCAATTCCGATGCATCTCCTTATTGAACGTTGAAGAGAAAATCTTTAGTATTCTAAATCAACGTTTATCAAGATTCCTAATTTGAAATGATTATATCGATAGATCGGTTCCGAAAGGAGGGGTTCCAGGCGCACCAGGTTGTGTCGAACACACAGGTGTCATATCGCAGTTGTTGAAAGACACGAAAAGAAGTAAAGAGACATCGCAGTCCTTTGCTTGACCTAAAAACGCTTTATGGTTCAATCCCGCACGAATTAGTCAAAGCCGACCGTAGTGCGACACCACATGCCCTCAAAGTTACAGCGCCATTTCAGACAATTATAATAATTTCAAAATGAGAGCAGTAGCAGATAAATCAATGTCGGATTGGCACGTTCTAAAAAAGGGGGATAATAACTGGATGCACAATTTCAGCAACTCTTCGCTTTGTCAATGAATATGCTGATCAAAGTGGCAGAAACTGAATGCAGAGGGCCCATTACAAGATCTGGCCTAAGACAGCCCCTATACGTGCGTACATGGACGACATGACATTAACAACCACGTCTGTCATAGGACCAAGATGGCTGCTAAAGGATTGAAAAGAGTCACATGGGCGAGAATGAGCTTTAACGCCTCAAAATCTAGATCTTTTGTGTTAAAAAAAGGTATATTAACAGAAGAACATTTTAAATTATCAGGCGTACTCATCCCTACGATTAGGCAAAATCCGGTGAAGTGCCGAGGGAAGAAATTTGATGCCTCCCTAAAAGGCTCTGTAGCAATAGACCAAACTAAAGTCAACTTGGAGAACTGGATAAACAAGGTTGACAAGTCTGGTTTACCCAGGCGTTTCAAAGCATGGATATACCAACACGCAATCCTTCCCAAATTACTCTGGCCAATAACCATGTATAATTTTACAACTTCTACAGTAGAAATCATGGAGAGAGGCATAACAGCTAGACTACGCAGATGGCTTGGTTTACCTAGATCATTGTCTAGTATTGCTTTGCATGGAAACTCCAACTCACTGCATCTTCCATTTACAAGCCTGGTGGAGGAGTATAAGGTTGCCAAGGAGAGATCTACCATACAATATAATTTCTCCGATGACTCCAAAGTGGCTTTAGCAGGCATTGAGGTCTACACAGGAAGGAAATGGAAAGCTAGGAACAAACTAAATATGGCAGAAGAAAGGCTCCGCGCAAAAACTATATTAGGTACTGTAGCAAAAGGTCGTGCTAGCCTGGGGTATTTTCCTTCTATTAGATACGATAAAGTAGCAGGGAAAGAAAAATACGCTCTGCTGCAGGAAGAAGTGCAGAAAAGCGAAGAAGAATCAAGGGTAACCAAAATGGTAGGGATGAGCAAAACAAAGTGCGCCTGGACAAAATGGGGTCCATCATCCACCAAAAAAGTGAAATGGGCAGATATTTGGCATTACAACATGGGGTTAAAATTCTTAATCAATGCCGTGTAAGAACACCTACCCAGCCCGCTAATCTGAAATTATGGAACAAATCAGATTCGCCCAATTACCAATTGTGCGGACAGATAGGAATGTTAAAACATATCCTCAGCAGCTGTCCATCAGCACTAGCGGATGGTCGGTATAAATGGTGGCACGATGAGATATTAAAAGAAATCACAGAAATTTTATGACTAGTGATACAAGTAAATGTATTAAATCCCCACCAAAGTTCCATAGAGTTCTTAAAAGTCGGTTCCAAACCTCAGAAGAAAAAGCCCTCAAAAATAAACCTACTCACACATGCTTCAGACTGGGTTGTAAAGACCGATTTAGGGTCTAGACTGATGTTCCCAGAACACATAGCCCACACTCAATTACGTCCAGACAGTGTTCTTCTCCAATAATCTAAAAATCGTAATTTTGTGGGAATTAACGATCCCTTGGGAAGAGCACATTGAAGAGGCTTATGAAAGGAAGAAATTCAAATATGAGGAATTATTAGAGGCATGCAGGACAAATGGCTGGAAGGCGAGCTGTATGCCAATTGAAGTAGGAACCAGAGGCTTTGCAGCACGGTCGCTCTGCAGAGCCTTAACAGATATTTGATTGGTGGGTTTAAAGAAACGAAAAGCCATTAAAACCATTACCGACACCGCTGAGCGAACTGCTAAATGGCTGTGGATTAAGCGAAATAGTGCATGGCTCCATAAAATCTAGGAATGACCAATCATAAAAGTAAAACCAAAGCAAAATTTAAATTATTACTTGCAGAAAATACTTATTAACACACACTAAGCATTTTTAAGAGTGTTTTTCTTTTCGAAGCTTTTACTACTGCTGAATTTCCCTTGCTTGTGCTATTCTTTCTTTTTGTTTTATTATCTTTTGTTTTTTAATCCAAACTATGCGTTTGCATTGATCAAATTGTACATAAATTTAAAATTTGCCACTTCAATGGAAAGCAAAATGTGTGTATATATATATATATATATATATATATATAAGCAACAGATCTGTATATTCATATACCGATGGAATTTAACTAAAATTGACATATTCATTTATTCTAATCGCTTAAGCACCAGTCGTTCGGGGTTTATCATTACTGCCAACCTTTTTACTTTTTTTTTTCATTTTATCTTTTCGGGGGGTAATTGGTGAATTTTCAATTTTAAAAACAACAATTCTGTACATACGCATATCAATGTAATTTTATTTTTATTTTATTTTTTATTTCGCTCGTATAACTTCTTTCTTTTTAGTTTTTACACGTCAAACCTTCAGTCTTTTGGGGCGGAGTATATCATTATTATTTATATTAGTTATTTATCTTTCGCAGGGTAGTTTATTGGAATTTTAACTTTAAGAACAGCACTTGAGTGTGTGTGTGTGTGTGTATGTGTATTTCTGTGTGTGTGTGCGTGTATGTGTGTATATAAGTATATATGCGCACACATTAATGTTTTTTGTTTTTTGACTTTCGTGGTTCTAAGTTTTTGCAAAAACTCATTCTTTCAGGGGATAAGGGAATTACTGTCTTGTACATAATTTTAGACCGAAAGTCATATTATATTATAATACATGAAAAAAAAAAAAAGAGGAAGGAAGGGAAAAAAAAAAAAGTTTTCTTCTTGTTGAGGGTGGGGGGCTTGGGATAACATAATAATGGCATTTCAACTGTAAACCGGAAAACTTGTATAAACGCATACAGATGTAGTTTATTGTACTCAAATTTTTTTATAAGTACATTTATTTTAATCGGTTAACCTACAGTCATTCTGGATGGGGCATATTAGTATCACTGTTTTTATGATATAAACTTAAAAACTAGCAACAAATTAAGTAAAATTTCTTCCTTCTGACATTTTGAATAACCCAACTTACCTGAGCGCTATGGGCTTTCCCTATGTGTATCATGCTAGTATCGAGTACAAGTCGGCTGAGACAATTATAAAAATCAGTGTCACATAGCGTGGTACAGAAGGAGGGTGCCTCAGAGCCTGATCAGTTCTGACGGGGTCGACTCAGCAAGGATGGTATGATGTTGCAAGGCCCGAAACTACCCAATGACCTGAGTAATTATATCACTGACGACACCCTCCTGCACAATAAAAGTGCGTATTTCCAAAGAAATTAAGAACGCTTTTTAATGTTATATGAAACAACCATTAAAGAAAATTATCTCATAAAGAATATATTTCATTTCTTTAAATCATATTTTCCAATGTATTTTTTGACAATATATATATATATATATATATATATATATATATATATAATATATATATATATATATATTTTTATTTGTCAATAAACATTTAGGACTATTTTTTTCCTCAATAAACATCTACATTTGGTTCATGTTGTTCAGAGTTTCTATATCAATCTAGTGCAAGGGCCCTGACCGAACGGTGACTGATAGATCAATGAATATTTTATAATTTTATTTATTTTTTGTGATGGATATGTGAAGCTAACATCATAAGTTTAAAGCAGTGAGTCAGTATGATAAATTGTTTCTATAGGGAGAAAAACCAGATTTAGTGTTTATGGGTATCATTTCCAATTTCTCAGAAATCATGATGACAAGGTAGTGGTGTTTTACATTTATGTCGAGCGGATACATCACATCCCTAATATTTTGTGAAATTTTTTGTAAAAAAGTGCAACCTATCCGCGAGTATAAACTGTAACCCTAGAACTTCAGAAAACAAGTATAAAATCAGCAAAGTCCTGTTTATTCTACGGATAACCTTTAGATACTGGTCCCATGAGATGAACAAGCAAATGCTTCCTATTTGATGATCTTTACAGAATGGTTCATCAACGCGTGTGTTTTTGATGATTTCCCATCTTATCAACCATTTATGTCATTAAATAATAACTAACAAATGAAATGTGAATATATATATATATAGCTATATATATATATATATATATATAATGTGTGTGTATGTATGTACTAATGTATATATTTGAGAATTGATCATACCAGCTTAACAGACTCGTTCCATATTGTACTTGACACTGGCAAAAATTTACGGCAAGTCAAGTTTTACAAGGCAAATGACCTGATTTGTAATTTATAGAAACAAAACTTGAATCACCAACTGTTGCAAAGATAGTGTACTTTTCTTTTTCTTTCATATGTCGGTAATTAATGGTATTTACTAGTAATGTTAATTTCTGGTTGGTATCTAATGACAGCATAAAAAAAGTATACAAAATGAAGATGAAAGATTAACAAATGATTTTAAAAATTATTAAAGACAGGCCAAATATAATTTCATAAATTAGAAAATGAGAATCACCTCAAGAAAAAAAAAATTAAATTCTCACTTGTTTGATGTTTTTCATAATGTATAAAGTTTGTACGTCAATGATGAAATATTGTAAAATAAAACTGTACGTGATGTTAAATACTTTCATTATCTAAATCTTTGTAGCTTTTTTTCTGGCAATAAATGCAAAGTGTGTTTTTCTTGAATAGAGTTTCAACTCCTTCAAGTTGAAGACCTTTCGTTTCTGGGAGACAGACGATCGTAAAAATCAGTCCAATAACAGTGATGACAACAAACAGGCAAAACGTTCCTGAAAAATAAAATGACAAAAATTATATTTTGTCATCAATTTACATAAAACCAAAAACTTTTTCATATTTTGTCTCTTAAAATTGTTTCTGGAAAGAGTCTCAAAAATGAAATTTTAAATTTATTATTTTTTATTATAATTCTCAGACTTTGAGTTTATGTTTGTCAGGTGACATCATAGATCAGAAATCTAGACTAATATTGTGTCAAGACTCAACAATTTTTCATTAGGGAGCTTATCTTAACATCAAAAACTGAGTTACTGTTTAGGATAGAGAGGTTCAATTGATTGATTCGTTTTTTATGGTTTATCAAGTCAGGAGATATTTTTAGATTGTAAGAATTTTTTTTTTTGAGGGGAAGGGGAGATAATAATGGTTTGGTGATACAAGTTTTACTAATTAACCCATAGATGGGTGTGAGAAGAGGTGGATTCATACCTTTCCCAAGAATATTTGCATGTAAGTGAACATAACAAACCCAATGGGAATTGGAACTCAGGTCTCCAATTAACAATTTTGAGCCATTATCCATTACACCACCTGCACATCCAAGCTTACAGCACCTGGTATTCCTAAGTGGCCACCAAAAGCTTAACATGCATGTAAAGTGAAGTAAAAAAAAAAAAAAAAAAAAAACACCAGAGTGAGGGTAGTTTTATGCTTATTTCCCCAAAAATATAAAAATGATGCTCTTTTCCATTAATGTTTACCGTAAATAGGCCTGTATTAAATCTATATTTGTTAATTCACTTACCAGTTTTTGAGAGAACTTGTGTCAGTGTTAGAAAGGTCATTGAAACAGTCAAATTGCAGATCCAATTGACAGCTGTTGCAACTGAATTTCCTGTTCCTCTGGCCCATAATGGATAAATTTCTGAATTCACTGTCCATGGCATTGGACCCATTCCTGGAAAATGGCATCAATATTAGACAACGAAAAAGATTTTTCTTTAATACTTAGCTTTGCTTTTAAATATTCTTTTTTAATTGGATTCATATTAATCTTCAAAACATGTTCCCTAAATTTCTGGGATGAAGAATTGGTATCATTTACATCTTTGTTGTTAGTTTTTATAATGAGCCACCCAGCCTTCTTCAGATGCCTGTCAATCTGAGTCAACTTAAGGGAATTATATATCACACACACACACACACAGGTCAGTACCATTAAACCACAATGTCACTTAAGCTGCGCATGCATGATGGACACCAAAATTTTTTGTCATGGTCATATTAGAATCATAATCATCAATGGATCCCAATTTGAAACAAATTAAAACTTGATTGTGACACTTTTTAAAGTCTGATTAATAAAACTATAAAAAAATTAATTTTAGTTTTTTCTTGTTAAAATGTTAAAATCTCGTGTACAAGATTTCCACCATCTTTTGTTGTCATCGATGATGGATCTATTAACATGGCAATTTATAATTGGAATCATTTTAGCCCGTTGTCTTTCAGATTTATTCACATTGGTGCAGATTTTTGTTTGCAAATTAAAGGATAGTTTTAAAAAAATGTTTTTAAAAATTGCCAATATTCAAATCTTAGTATTGGATACACATTTTGCATGCTTAACTACTGTGTTATCCATTTTCGCAGAATAACTCCATGGACTTATCAAGCTTTGTTTTTTATGGTCTAAATTTTGGCAATCCTGACATTATGGCTCACTTTTTTTCTAAACTGTGGATAGATGTTTTGGACTCCAACTACTGTTTTTTTTTTATTGGCAATTTTATATATATATATATATATATATATATATATATATATATAAAAGAAATATAGTTTTAAGGTGTGCTATATTTATGTGATAAAGTGCTCAATATCATAGATAGAAGCGTATGTAAATATAAATATAAAAAATGAACATTTAAAATCAACAGGCTGTTTCATGCCAGATGTAATCATCAGGGCACCTGACAAATCTAGCATGAAACAGCTTGTCGCCCCTAATGTCTTGACTTCAGTGTTCACTTATATATATATATATATATATATATATATATATATATATATATATATAATATATAAAATGGATTTTTATTAATTCAAGAGATTTTTATCACTTTAAACATTATTTTTAGCGGATACTCATATGTGAGTAGGCACCCCATTTATTTATTAAATAAAAATTTGCAGGGATTCTGCAGGAATTGAACCTACATCCATCAGAGCTGAGGAGCCACTGTTTAGTCTGATGCACTTTACCTCTTGACCACAAAGGAGCAGACAGTCAGGTCAATCGAATTTCATGCTTTCAAGCAAAATTTTTCCAGTCATTCTCTTTGGTGACATTTGGATATGCAGATATGAAAAAAACTTAGAGAGATCCATGATGGGAGAAATTTTGCTGAAATCATGAAATTGTCTTTGCCTAACCACGTGTAATTGATATATATATATATATATATATATATATATATATATATATATATATATATACACACACACGTGGTTAGGCAAAGACAAATATATATGTCTATATTGTGAAGGTACATATATATATATGTACCTTCACAAAAATAACTAAAAAGAAATCAGCATATTAATAGTCAAAATCTTTGAAGAGGAAAAATCAAAATATTTTTTGAATATTTAATGAAATTTTTTACTCCTTTTTTAGAACACTTGAAATTTTGATTAAAAAAAAATTGTTTTTCTTTGCATCAAACAAAATTTATTAATTTTTAGAAAATTTTAGCCTCTTTTTTGTGGTGACAGATACATTAATTTGGAAACTCTTGCAAAAATCAAATAAATACTGAATTTTAAGGAAATTTTTAGGACTTATTCACAAATGAATTAAATTATTTTTGAAATTTTTTTTAATAGATAATCTTAGTAAAAATATATTTTTTTTTTTAAATTTGTCAAACATTAACCTTACGTCATTTATAGAATTATTGTTTTTAAAAATCTGAAGTCAAAAAACTAATCTTTTCATTTTAAAAAAAGAAAAATACAATTGGTACATAAATAACTTGAATTCACTAAGAAATCAACCAGACCGGACATAAAAACGTATCAACCAGACTGGACATAAAAACGTATCAATGAAACTCAGTTCAGATAAGTGAATTATTTTATTGTTATATTTTGAAATTGATTTTAATTCAATGATTTGCTTTTCTTATGTAGCATATTTAAATTAAATGTATCTGTTAATAAATTCCACATATTTATTTTATTCTGACAAGTGATGTATCTGGGAAACTTGAAGTCAGAAGTCCTTTGAATTTTTATTTATCTATTAACGCTACATGTGAACAGTGTGGGTTTTTCTGTAAATTTTTTTTTTGTTTCTCTGTCTGAGATATCAAATGAACAAGTGAATCTTTCTGAATTGAACATCGACTCCAGAGAAAAGCAGACAAGTAACATAACACTACACTAGCATTTTACTGCATCAGCATCAGCTTGCAATTACAGAGGGTGCACAGATACTACACTTGATCCTAGGCAGAGGGTAAGGCTTTGATTCTCAACATAAATGTCAACAATATTTAAATAATGCTATCATTTTTAATGCTAAGTTTTTTTTTATTCTTTTAGTTTAGGAATTGTCATGATCTTTTGATTTATTTGAAATTTTGTTCTCGTTCAAAAAAAATGAACACTTGACGATAGCCAGAGGTTACTTGATAGATACATTGTTAAAGTAGAAGATATTATTCTAGTAAAAAAATCAAATAAAGCCAAAAATGCAAGCAAAACTAGATGGGTAGAAAGTGAAATTTTTTATTACCTGGAGCAAAGAACATCAGGTATAAAGCCAACCCTAAAATTGCCATCCAAGAATATGAGGTAGGGCAAAAATTATACAGGAACTCAGAGTGGGTGACGTTTATATTTGTAGGTGAAGAACAACGACCTGTTGTAGAATAATCTTCAGATGTTTGATTGACTGAAACACAGCTGGCATTATTGTATTTGGCACCATGTGTGTCATAACAGAATCCACAATTAACATTTTCAGTACAAGTGGAACAAGAACTGAAAGACGAAAACAAAAAAAAGAGTAACTATTAAGCATGGGTGTACAGCTAGGGTAAGAAAAAAAAATAAAAATAAAAAAATAAAAAATGGAAGGTATCTGTAGAGTGAAAAGATATCAAAGGAAAAGAAAAGATTTATTACATATTTATTTTTGTGCACAGTAGATCCCAAAGAATTTGAGTTTTGCTCACAAAACACAAAGTTGGTAAAATCAGATCAGATGTGAACATTTTTGTTGTGAATGTAAAACTTATTTGTTTCAAAGATTTTCACACATTATCATAAATCTACTTTAAAATTTTGGCCATTGAACTAAACCATGAAAATTGAGAATAAAGTTGCAGCAAACACAGATAAATGTGCCTGCAAGAAAACAGTGTCAAAAGGAGATTTTTTTAATGACACCACATTTTTTTTAACTAGCTTCACTCTTCAGCCATGTTTGTTGTTTTAAAAAGTGATGATTAGAATTGTAATAAAACCTAAACGTGATGAAAATGAATTTATACATATTTCTTTCAAGAATTGACAACAAAAATATTAAACACTATTTATTAGATTGTTTATTTACAAGAATAATTTTATATTTACAACATTCTAAAAACAAATACAACTAAAACTAATGCAATATTTATCATTTACCAATTTATAAAGAAATAAATATGAAAACGATTTTTATTCATAAATTTATAAACATTTAGTAAATCATTAAAATTTGTGAACCAACGTTAAGAAAATCCTTATTTACCATTTTAAAAAGTTTGAATTAATTGGCAATTAGCCAATGTTTTGTCAACCATTCCAATAAACAATCTAATAAATAGTGTTCATGAACAATGCCTTAACCAATTAGGCTACAAAATTCGTCACGACTGTTCATATCTTTCCTTTAATGATTGAAATGAAGGAAATTAAAATAAAGTTGCAACTTCAGAACAAACTTGAATTTGTGCTTCAGTCTTCTGAAGTTTGCTTTTCATGGATTAATCTGTATTAATCTGTATTAATCACCTCACATTGAAGCAACAACTGTGCCACACCATGTGCTACCCACCCTCACTGAATTAGCAGAGTAGTGGATGGAGGCAAAATAAAAATGTTGCCAACTAGGAATTATGAGTACTTAAAAAAATTTGGAGGTAACAACAGTGACTAATCAAAGTAAAATATATTGGAACATTTGCCAAAGAGTGATTTTTAGTATACAAGTCTTGCGTATCATTGATAATCATTTCTGTTTAAATTGCTGGAAAGAGGAATTAACATTATTTACAGACAGACTAATGTCTTCATCTTTGTTGTTGTTATCACAATATTTCACCCATTGTGCCCCTATGGCATCCTCAGGTGTTAACTAAAACATGACAAAGTTGAAAACAGATCAACTGTAAATAATATAAATAGTCATTTAGATGGCCTTATGCCAGACCATATTAATCTTGGCAAAAATCTGGATATCAATTTCAACTTTACTATTTATTTATCTACATTATCTGAATATATTTCACATGGAATTCTGAGGAAGAATTCAATGTCTTGAATGTAAAATGAAGATGATATTTCTTACCTGTATTTACTGCAAGTAAAGTTCTGAGTGCCAGGTTCAATCAGAGTGACAGGAGGAGAGTCACTAGCCATCATCTTGAAACTGATGGCCAAAACTGACAAACCAACAATAATACCTGAAACAGAGACAAATATTAATTATTTTACGATAAGCTCGTGTTATTTTCTATACAAAAAAGCAAAATATTACAGCTTCAGTTAGAAAATAATGGCTGCCATTTGTGTTAGCATATAACATGCTTGTAACATTTGGCAAGGAATATTTAGGGAAAAAATATTCAATTTGTGATCCATCCATACTTATTTCTCTTATAACTAAACATTATTTTGATTTGTAATAAATAATTTAAATATTTATAATCTTATGTTTTTTGTTTTTGTTTTTTAATGAAGTCACCCCAAGCAAGGTAATGATGCCATTAAGATGCAAGGGGCAACTGGGAGTGAAAAAGAATGAGAAAAATTTAGAATGAACAGGAAACCTAATCCTAAACAGAAAACAAAATATAAACCTCTACTTCTAATAAAAAAAAAAAAAAAAGGAAAAAAAAAAGATTTCATTGTAGAGTTATCAAGGGACTAGTGTGTCAGAAGTGTTTAGATATTAATCTAGTTCTGGTGACCCAACAATTTGGTTAGAGAGGCAGAATAGAAGAAAAAAATTATGCCTTCTATGACAATATGGTAATTATTTGTCAGAACAAAAGTCAGTAGCATTTTTTTAATTAAATTTTAAATAAAATATTTAGATGCTTGTTACCTGCCTATTTGCTATTTTGCTCCACAAGAAGGCATGATGGAGTAATGGATAGCGGCTTGAATTGAGGAATCGGAGAACCGAGTTCAAATTCTGGTCAAATCCATTAAATTCACTTACATCAATAATAATACCTTTGGGAAAAGGTATGAATGCTCTTCTCCCCCGGGCTATGGGTAAATAGGAGGACAGACCGGGTTCTATAGCCTTGGATGGTAACTGGTCTACCGCAGAAAGAAATGGCAACCTACTGTGGGGAAAAAAAAAAAAATCTGTCTCGTCAGTCATGTAATAACAGATACATGATCGCCTAAGTGTGTATCACGCATGGCACATAAATGGCAAAAGGCCAGTCAGTCAGTTATGTGAAATTTAAATGAAAGTGATAAATTAATAATCATGGTGACTCACTGGGTTTTGTATTTGATGCCAAACAATGATCTTGCTTTCTTACTGATGCATGTTTATCATGCAAAAGATGACCATTTTATGTCATTGAACAAAAAATTACAGACTTACCAGTTAAACTACCAAGTGTCAGCTTTCTCCGTCCAATGCGGTCAACCAACCAAACCCCAACAATTGTAAAAATAAAGTTAATTCCTGCCGTCATGGATGCCAGCCAGATGGCTGCTGTGTCACTCTGTACTCCTGCCATTTTTATTATGGAGGCACTATAGTACCTAATAATTGAAGAAATTAAAAAGAAAATTAAAAAAAATAAAAGTCAAAAGGCTTTGTTTTTTTATTTGGTTGAATTACACCAATTGTCTACAGGTGAACTTCTGCTAGCAACCACTAGGTGATATTATATAAAGCCAAAGGCTGCATTTTTTTCTACCTCTTTTTAATTACAAGATGCTGTAGGGACAAGAGAGTGTCTCACAACCCCCACCCCAGGGCACCTCTGAGTTATATAACTTGTGATATCATAGGTAGGACTGATTACAGAAATGAAACAAAATTTTCATTCATACTGGTGGTAGGATGAAAAAAAAAAAAAAAAAAAAAATGAAACAATAAACAGTTTACAAGATGAAGATGTTTGAACATCAAAGATGAAATATTTTCATTCTACACCGATGAAACAAACAGCATCCCTTACTTTTGGGATACAAGGATAAGGTGCCTTAACACTTATACCATAAAAATTAATTCACCAGTGTCTCTGGGAAAATGAAATAAAAAAGAAAAAAGGAATATATTTTCCCATGATGCTAAGAATAAAGGAACTAAAAATATGATTAACCACCAACTTCTCCCCCCCACACACACACACACACACTTGGCAGCACATGTTAAGTCTATAGAAAGACAAACATTGTCCTGCCTCCCTCGTTCTTCTTTTTTGCTCCAACAGAACCACACAGTAATTACATTCCCACTGGGATACATTAGTTCCCCCCCCCCCCGGTCTGCTGACAACTGAACTCTCTTCCCACTTTCCCCATGATAAAGTAAGTACAACTTTACTTTCATTGTTCCAACTCTGTGCAAAGCTGACTTGAGCTCGACCATTAATATGATGCTTATACTTACGCTAATATCTGAGCCTAAAAGAAGACATAACCAAGAAACATTGAAAACTTTATTTCACTAGTCACTATAAAAAAAAAGAATAAACAGTCCATAGTAGAAACCTAGTTTTTTTTTTGATTCCTCTTATGATTGTTTATCATATGTGAAGAAGCACACGCCTAAAATGCACAAAAAATATGCTACCATTTAATTTCTATATATCCTTCAAATTGAATCCTATAGCTACATTTTAATTATACCCTGCTATATTGTTTGTTTACATCTAGTAGTCTTAGATGTAATAGTCTAAATAAGAATATAATCCAGATTGTATTTAATGCATTTCAACATGGCAGTAAGTGATTTACCTATGGTGATGCACACCCAAAGATGCAATGTAAGAGCACAATGTAGGCCTCTGCTTTGTCATTTTTTTTTTTCAGCATTACCCTTTTGAAAAGTCTCAAAGTCTCAGAAATTGATCATTTTTCAATGGAATGGGGTAGTGCTGGCAGGGGGTGGGATGCTGCCCAGGAACTGAACTAAGATTGTTTTACTCTTTGATATACAAAAAGGCTGGAAAGGCAATCAACATCAGTATCAAAGATTTTCTGATCCCTGCCTCACAAACTATCATTTGGATTTCTTTATTTTGGCAATATTTCTGGGTGGGGGAGTCATTTTTGGATTTTGCTATTTTTGAGAGAATTCTTTTAACAAATTTCCATATTCAGTCAATGAATAAATCTTCATTGTGCATTGAATATCAAGAAGAAAGGGATTGTCAGTGGTCAGGAATTAAGACACCCATTACGGATAGAATAGGATTATTATTATATAATTATTTGTATCGTGATACACAGTTGTTCCAATTGTTCAAGTCTTATCTTTAGTTAACCTGTATCTAACATCTTTGCCAGACTTTATCTTTACAAGAGACCAAAAATGGAATATTGCAACTACATCTTGGTTGGAGATGCTCAGTCCTTACTTTCTACCCTTGATAAGAGTTCAAAATCATTTATGCAGTCTTATGTGCGGGGGGGGGGCTTATTTTCAATCCTACAACTTCTCTACAGACACAACACTGCAAACCTGTTGCAACCATCACTATTTACATGGCAAATTTTCAGATGAGCACTCCATTTTTTAGTAACACCAGTTCAGATCTTTACAGCTGGGACAGACCACTTCCACAGGAGTGAATCATCTTAATTTCCTCCATGTTCAAAATATAAGAAGAAAGTTCCACTCAAAAAGCTTTTTCACAAGAATTGTCAGTTTTTGGAGTGGACTCCTGCATGTATGCTTCCCTGAACTCTTCACCTCATCCTTATAAGCTTTACTTCCCACCATATTTGCTTCTATTCATATCACACACACGCTTCATTCAGCATTAGCTTTTTATTGTAACAGCAAACTTACAGCAAAACTTTAGGATTAAAAGAAAATGAGAGATTATGGATTATTGTAATATTATTTGGTTGGTTGCATGTCCTAAACAGGTAAACACAATTTAACAGTAGAGAGATTATAGTGAATTGCAAGAGTGACAAAATTCTAACAATCAGAAACAAAATCAAAATAATTTCTGTCTAAATTTGTCAGATGAGTCATCATCATCATCATCATTTACAGTGTTTATATTCAGACTACTAATGTCCTCATTTTTGTTGTTATCAAATTTTGAGAATTGTGCCTTCCAAAATAAATGTGAAGACTTCAACAGTAGCGGTAAGACATGAAGTGGCATTGACCAAAGTCAAGTATAGTGACAAATGCAGCAGCAGAGCATGTAAGAATAATATTTCGTTTAAGTCTTCAAGTTTTAGATTCAGGATTGTCACAGAGGACAGTAGAATCTAGCACTAGTTCATGAATTTGCTGAGTAATTTTGAGTTCAATCCATGGCCTGGGTAGTACAGACTTGGTGAACATTGGACAAGGAATAACTACACAAAAAACAAAGGGTCCTATTCAAAATAGTGTGAAGTTTACCCAAATCAATAGATATTTGAAGAAGATGAAGACAGCTAGGGGCATAATCATTGTGGGGATAACAAAGATGAAGACAATAGTCTGAATGTAAATAAAATTAGAAAAAAAAGGGAAATAACATTTCAAATGAATCCAAGTAAATAAAATATATTTTTTTTTCTCTACATGAATTTCACACAATTTGTATATTGAACAAACTAAACCCTTTATTTTGCTCGCTGGGGTAGACTGTTCTAGTTCCACATGTCATGTCTAATGGATGTCAGTTATCTCCTGTTAATTCACCTCTCTAAGTTCTCCACTGCCTTAACCAGGTATTGAACTCACAACTCTTTGGGTCCTGTCACCAGTGAGCAAAATAAAGGGTTCAGTTTGACATTCCAACCACCTGAAGAAGGCCAGAGCGTATAATGGCTGAAACGTTGTAATAAATATGGCAACAAAGATGAGGACAATAGTTCGAATAATGTAAATAGTGTATAATGTAAAAATAGTGATACATAATAAATCATCTCAAAATGAGGACAATATCCTAATGATGTCATAAAATACCAATTTTGAGATTCTGGCAATTTTGAGACATTATTTTAAACTGAATCTCAGAGCTGATGAAGTTGTTCTCAGAATCCAAGAAGTAAAAGGAAATTAAACAATATCTGTCATGTTCCCAAAAATGGTTTAAGAATTTTAAAGATTTTGGTGACTTGCGGCTTTGAATCATGTCATTTATGATGCTTTAAAAGACAAGGTAGAGAAAATGACCAGCACTTAAAAATTCCTTACTACAATTAATTTGGCAGGCTGGACAAAAATCATTTATGGGCTGGATGTGGTCTGGGGGTTGCCAAACTCTGGTTTAAACCATCTGAATCATTATTCTCATATTAATTTACAAATGACAGCAGATTGCAAAGACTAAATTGAGATGATACAAAATTATATGAAAAAAAGAATGAATTATTTATGAGGCTTACAATAAGAAATGAACCCTCACTTTTGAAGTACTTAGTGTTAAGCATAAAACACTAACATCTTGTTCAAGTTCATAAAATATTTTTATTTCTTAATTCAGTCATTGAAATCTTTGGAACTGTGTCCGATTGTCCACCAGAATGACAAAAAAACTCAAGAAAGTTAAAGAGAACAACTTACATGACACTGTTTATTCCACACAATTGTTGGAAAAATTGCAACCCACAACCAACAATGAGAGCTCGTCTTACATGAGGTGTTTTTAAGATTCTCCAGATTTTGTAAAAACTTTCTGAAACAAAGATTTAAAAATAAATTATGAAAAATATGAAAAATGAATAATTAAAAAAAATTACATTAAAAGAAACCAAGAATATGTTAGATAGGAAAACATTTAATATTACAAAAGGACACTGAAAAGTCCTTTGCTTATTTCTATTAGCTTTCCCTAGACTGGATGCCAACTAAGGCTAGAGTACCCAGACTGTATTTAATACAAATCTGGAGGGAGAAGAGATGAATTCATGCCTTTATCAAGAGTAATAATACAAAAGTGAACGCAAGGAAGGCTTAAATTTTTATTTGGCTCACAGATTTCACTTTCCACTTAGTTAACCACTATGCTACTTGTGCTTTGACAGGCAATAAAATAAAATAAATTTTCTCCAAGAAAATAAAAAATAACTTCTACACAAATGTCTAAGTAAAATTCTTTTCTGTCAATAAGAGTTTAGATTTACCTCCTTTTGCATTTGCTTTTGTTGATTCTTGAATGGAATTCAGTTCTTGATTTATTTCAGATGTTCCTCTGATGTCTGCAAGAACAGCACGTGCCCGCTGGTAATAGCCTTTACTTATCAACCATCGAGGACTCTCCGGAAGAAACAAAAACCCAATCAGCTGAATAAGAGAAGGAATACTAGCAAGACCCAACATATATCTGTAAAGAGAAAGAAAAAAATATCATGATATATTACAAATATTCAAGACAAAGTAAATACCTCTGTACACTTTCATGGAACTATTATTTTGGAATAGTCAAGATAAACAGATATTTTTCCATTTGTCCAATCAGAGCTTGCAAACACAGAAAAAATATATTTTTTTCTAACCAATCTGTTTCTGCTGTGTATTGCTTTTTCTGAGATTGACTAGAATTATAAAAAACATCATTAGTTACAGTACGAGGCAAAAAAATGGACACACTCATAGAAATGATGATGAAAAAGATATAAAGTTTATTATATTTGTATTTACATTTATTAACATGCCTAAGAATTGTTCTAACTTTGAGAAAGGCCAAGTCATCGCTTTTCATGATCTTGGGCTGTTGAATAGATTGATAGTTGATAAGATTAATTGAAGTGGGTCGTGTCTGCAAATTAATCAAAAAGAGAAATCAAACTACAACATATAATAGACGTAGCAGATCTGGCTGAGTGCTAAAAACTACCAACAGGGAAGATAGAAACTAGGTTTGTCAATGCAAAAAAGATTGATTCGCAACAGCACAAGATATTTCCAAAGTGGCTAGTTTGGAGGTTTCTTCAAGAACAGTCAGACGTAGACTTAAAGCAAAAGGCATCATTTCCAAATACATAAAAAAAGAAACCTTTCATATCTGGAAAAAATAGATGGGCACAGTTGGCCTAGGGAAAAGCTCATTTACATTGGACTAAATCTGATTTGGAAGATGTTATATGAAGTGATGAAAGGACGAATATGTGTTTGGTATACATCTGGTGAAACGAATACTCTAGTGATTACCAAGGATACTATTAAACACGATAAAAAAATCAATGTTTAGGATTCATTCTCAGCAGCAGGAATTAGTAATTTGTACAAAAATCAAAGAAATCATGAACAAGCATCAATCCCACAACATTCAACAAATTCTATTACTCACCTGTCTTGGTAAAAATACAAAAATCAACTTTCTATGAGTGCATCCATTTTTTCGACTCGTACTGTAGCTCTCCAAATATCTCACTGAAGTAGCAAGTCTATTCTTGAATAATCTTGACAATCTCGAACTTATCCTGCTGATCTCTGAGTGAACAGTCACTAACATCATACACAATGACCTGACCTGTAGCCAATTTCTAATCAAATAGTCACAATTATTTGACCAAAACGTAAATAATAACAACTAATAATTTACAGTTAGAATGGCTAGATGTATCTGTAAGTTCTATGCTAACAGTTTCTTTTCTCACACTTCTCACTTGTGGAACTCTCTTCTGGTTCCATGCTTTCCAGCCAACTTTGAACTTTAAAAATTCAAATGCAACATCAATTGTTATCTACTGTCTTCGTGATTACTCTTCAGTTCTTCTGTTTCCTCTTTTTTCTTATTCTTTCACATTCTATAATCCCTTGTGTCATAGTGGCTTTACTGCCTTGCACGGGGGTGATATGATTAAAATAACCAATATTCTGTTCCTTTGTATGTATGACCATTATAATGTTCTGCTTCGGATCAGAATGTCGTATCTGCTCAGTTCCCAGTGCTTTTCACCTGGAATCATTTTCTGACTGAGAAATCCTACATAATAAGTAAGAATGAAATTGGAAAAGCAAAGGAAAATAAGGGAGAAGAAGAAAAGGTAGGATGTAAGAAATTTAGAGAAAAATGAAAAGAAAACCAAGGGAAAGAAAAATATATATGAGAGAGAGAGAGAGAGAGATGGAGATGGAGATGAAAGAAAGAGACTTGCTAGGTGTATATGAAGAAACAAGAAGTGAAATCCAGGTAATGATGAAAAGGTTTTAAATTTGAAACTGAAATGATCAACAACCTTGTAGATCACAGACTAATAGTTTGCTGAGGAGGCTTTGATGAGGATAAGTGCTCAACTGCTTTCTTGAAAACAGACTGCTGCCATTTTCCAGAGACTTGGTAAATATTTCTCTTTCAGGCAACAGTTAAACAACTTGGCCAAGATTGTGGATAACTCTAAAGTTCTTAAGAAAAAAAAACATAAGGATTTTATCCAGGCCACCAGCCTTTGTAGAGTCAAAGCTTTTGATGAGCCTGGAAACTTCCTGTGTTGAAATCTATTACACTGTTTGTCTTCCATATTCCATAGTAGCAAAAACAGATACAATACAGAATATTTGGGAATTCCTTATTTGTTGCATATAAGATTACTCCATATTTAGATAAAAATCATGGATGATCAAATAAAGATTGGAAAGGATTAGGGAGAGAACATGAAGATACAGATAAAGAGTGAGAGAAGAACAAAGGGGATAACATAATGGATAATCTTATTTATCAACACCCATGGAATAAATCATTAACTCAGTCTTATCTTGTCATCTTGAACAACTAGAAAAAAAACTGATTTAAAATTCAGATTTTATTCGAACTAGTCATTTTACCAATAATAAATACTAATTTGCAGCCAATTATTTTAGAGAAGTTTAAACTTATTTTTAGTTATTCATAATTTTAAACTTATTTTTACTTATGCATTATTAAGCCTTTGATATTAAAATATTTTAATTAAATAAAAATCTATACACTGTTTAATTCAACAATTAAAATACATTTTAGAAATATATAAAATGTACCTTTAAAAGAAAAATTTTATATAATTTAAAATTATTTTATATAATTTAAATATCTGTAAAATTAAAATAAATAAATAATAAATAAATAAAAAAAAAAAAAATAAATAAATTAAAAAATTAAAATAAATAAATAAAAAAAAAAAAATAAAAAAAGTAAAATAAAAAAAAAAATAAAAAAAAAAAAAAAAAGTAAAATAAAAAAAAAAATAAAAAAAAAAAAAAAGTAAAAAAAAAAAAAATAAAAAAAAAAAAAAAAAAGTAAAAAAAAATTCCCAAAGTAAAAAAAAAAAAAAAAAAAAGTAAAAAAAAAAAAAAATAAAAAAGTAAAAAAAAAAAAAAAAAAAATAAAATAAAAAAATAAAAAAAAAATAAAATAAAATAAATAAAAAAAAAATTTAAAAAAAAATCAAATAAATAAAAAAAATAAATAAAATAAAATGGTGGCCATAGAATGGTATTTATAAGACCTGGATTTTGTCCCCCATTAAAGATTTGAATATGTTTGAATGTATTTATCTCGATAAACACATTATGAAACACATTTCAGAAATAGAGAGAAAGAATGAAAACAAAAAACTCAAAATTTGAAAAAGGAAAAAAATGATAATTTATAACAAATAATGATTTGTAAAGGATATGAGTGGGGGTGTAGGTGGAAGAGTACCTTCTTTTTGGGGAATATCAATTAAGAAACCAGTCTTAACAGACTGTAATGGCTGAATTTCTGGGACTTTGCTTCCACCAAAACATGCTATACTCCATTTCCAAATCTGAAAGCTCAGCACTTTAGCCCAAACCTCCAGTCTCTCGATGTCTTTGCAAATAATTTCAAAGTCTGTCAAGTGCTTTCTCATCTGCTCTTCAGAAGCCATATTTTCATTAATGTAAATGTCCTTGATGCATAATGAAGTATCCTTCTAATTGAGTCATCTTGGAATAAAAACTGTCTCAAGGACTGCCCTCATTATAAGAGGGATCACATTGAGTTTGAAGCCTGAGTCAGTATCTTTGTCCTTTTGAAAGCACAGTCTGGAACTTGTGGATGTGTACCTGTAGATATGCTTTTCTTAGTATTCGTCTATATTTCTGAGATGAGGTATTATGTACACTATTTACATTATTCGGACTATTGTCCTCATCTTTGTCGCCATATTTATTACAATGTTTCAGCCGTTGTACGCTCCAGCCTTCTTCAGGTGGTTGAAATGTCGAACTGAACCTTTTATTTCACTCACATATGATGATGAGGACAATAGTCTGAATAATGTAAAAAGCTTTCCTTAGCTCTAACAATGAAACATTATCAGCTTTGTGTCACCAGTCTCTCAGTTGGCGTATGCAGGCATCTGTGCTCACCATAAATGCATCAATATGCTAGTTTAGATCCCTGTAACCTAGAACTGAGCACACCTTATTTTTGTCATCCTGGATGATCGGCATTAGCATGATTAAGATGTCCAACCAGTCTTGCGACTCACATTCGTATTTCATTCACGTCTATATGGACACAGGGTACTTGTTCTTCAGTATCTTTGGAGCCCGATTGCCCACCTTCTTTCACACCCCAACTGTGTGATCAAACTCGGCATCACCCATGATGGTGTAAACGTAATTCTACCTAGCTCCTTAATTATGCTTATGCTGATTAGCCAATCAAACCCCAGCAGCTTCTCTCAAGCTACCAAAACATCAACCTTGTCAGGACTCACTATTGAGGGTTTTGACATACAATCTTTTGTCTGATCAGCATACATTTTTATTTGCTATTGATCAGTGGCAATCCAAGTAGACATGTGCAATGCATAGCCTTCCATCAATTTGATCTTTGATTACAGGTAATGCTGGGTTTACATTCATTTTTGTAAGCAGTTACACAATCTATGGCCTACAGTCCTCGCAGAGGAAACCGTGTATGCATCTGTGTCGGCCTTGTCCACACACTTTATTCTCTTTCTTGTTCGCTTTCTGATGATAGCCTCTCACTATGTGGTTCGGGCCATTGCACTTCTAGCATGTCATGTTATTGCATGGATCCTCAGAGAGGACTTCTTTTGTTTCACTTAGTATCTGTGCTGCTACTACTGTCAGACCAATGTCCATCACTTCATCTTTCATGACTGCCTGTGCTTGGTCCAGCAGTTGGCTGGAGGTCAGAGCATCCATTGTGGATGATGCATAAAGGAACTGCTTCACTCAATCTGGCAGCCCTGACCCGAATGCATACATAAAACCATGATCAGTCATACCGCTGAACAGAACTGAATTCTCCCAGATATGCATCTGTGTCACAGTTGCCTTGCCATAAATTGTTCATATGCCACAAACAAATCTGCTGCAATTATCATATATAAGGCAGTTTTAATT